AAAGAAAGAAAAGAAAGAAAGAAAGAAAGAAAGAAAGAAAGAAAGAAAGAAAGAAAGAAAGAAAGAAAGAAAGAAAGAAAAGGAAGGAAGGAAGAAAGAAAGAAAGGAAAGGAAGGAAGGAAGAAAGAAAGAAGGAGAGAGAGAGCGAGAGAGAGAGAGAAAGAAAGAGAGAGAGAGAAAGAGAAAAAGAAAGAAAGAGAGAGAGAGAGAAAGAAAGAGAGAAAGAAAGAAAAAAACACTCTGGCCACATGTGCATGTGTATCCAGAATCCTGAGAGGAGAATGGAGAAGGGATTATAGTGTGTCCATTCTCCCTCTGGGAGTGCTTTCTCACTTTCCTTCTCTCTCTGTCTCTCTCTGGCAAACACATGAACCCTATAGCAAACTTAAAAAAAATAGGTTGCATTTCAGACTCCTACTTATGTGATCCAGTTCTGTCCGAAGAGATTACACATTCAAGGAAGCACAGCCCACAAAGGAATTCCAATGTTTGCCCAGGTTCCTCTCAAGTCCAAGCACAAGCATACACAGCTCTCGTTAAAATCCCCTGTTCTCATGTAGTCTCTAGTCTGCTCTGAAATGTTATGAAACAATTGAACCTCTCATTTTCTTGACCCCAAAGGACACTGTCATTTATGATGTCCTACCGTGTGGCTCTGTGAAAGCACCTCCCTTGTCTGCTTGCCTTAACTTCACTTCATGCAGGGAGATGAGGAGGCATGGGCACTCTATTGAGACACAGGTGAAAGGGCACACTTTCAGGGACTTGGCATTGACAGCTACCAGGTAACTGAACCACCTGGCTTTTGCTTCTTGCCTCCTTGTGTTCGTCAGCCACAGAAAAGTATGAGCTTGCTTCTGACGGTACATACACTATCTAGAAAGCAGATGTCCAGCAAACAGCCCACTCGGATCCCATCAAAATAAGATAAATAATTCTTCAACTAGTGTGAGATGAAAAAGATAGTCTGTTTGTGTGTACAAATCCATTTTCTTCCTTAGAATCTTAGAAATCGCAAAACGTGCACCATTGTAGGCCCTGTGCTTTTCATTGCAAGGAAGAAAATTCAAAATAAAGGCCTGTTACTGAATGAATGGCTCAGTCAAAGCAGAGCCATGGCACATTAAATTCAATAAACCGCTCGAGCTTCTGATCGAATATATTATAGGAACACTATAGGCTACAGTTTAAAAGATGAGTCCAGGAAGAAACAATATACTACTGTATTGGCTTTCTTGCTGGCAGTCTCAGCTTCAGGCACAAGACGATGCTACCTGATAGTTGCCATGGTAACCATGCAAGTGTTCAGCTGGAGCATTTTCAAACAGAAAAATAGAACGGCAGACACGAGTTGCTGTTTAAAGAGAAAGAGGATGGGCAGCAGCTTGGAAAGTGGTAGCATGGGAATCTGCCAGTCCAAATTCTGCAGCGTGAAGCCGACAAGTCTTTCAGTTCTTATAAGGCAAATTAAACTACCACACCACACCTACAGGGAGGTGTCCAGGAGTGGTCGTTCCAGTGAGTAACTTTTCAGGAGAACAATGGGAAAGAGCTGTGTCTGCAGTGGTGTGGAGATTGGAGCCGACTCTATCCTGCTGAGACTTGAACTTGCTATTTTTTCACAAACTGTAGCCCTCTAATTTCTTGCCGAATCCACCAGGTCCTAGAATTCACGATGCATTACATGTCTACTCACTTACTATACTCTGCCCTAACTCTGCCTCCATGTCCTACACATCAATTCCTTTTTGGTCATACCTTTTTTCCTCCTTTATTAGTATTTTTTTAAAAAATTATATTTAGTCACTGGACGTCTTTACAGCTTACAAAATGAATTTTAAAGACTGAGGGATTCCTTCAATGTTTTCACATTCATCCTTTTAGCTTATCTGCACATCAGCCTACAACACGAGGGTCATTGCCTTACTTCTGTCTGAAACTGCCTCACCCCAGAATCACTACTCCCTTGCTTACACCCCCTACATGTTTCTGCGATTCCACCTGCCCTCCTCACTTACGGGCTGACTGTTTCATTTTCTATGACTTGTCAGCTTCCTGGTTGCAATCTACCTCCAGGGCCAAACATAACCTTTTGCTTGATCTTCATTGCTTTTTTTCTTTTTTTTTTTTTTTTAAATAAGCCTATATCATGTCAGGATATTTCACATCATATTCCACATTCTGGCAACTCCAGACCCATGTTCATGGTAAGGCAGCAGTTAGCCCAGCTGAGGAATAACTGTTCCCTTAGGATCAAGACCATGCTCTCTTACCTGGTCGCCTTATGAATTAACTACATGCCAGATTCTTCTAATAGTTGAAAGGCCAGAAAGGACTCCTGCCCATGAGATCAGGGACAGCATCATGTGCCGTTCTTCTGTCTACATTCCTAACATATTTATTTCCCCCAGAGCCTAGCTAGCCTACTTTCTTTACCTGGTAGGCGCACAATATAGACTCCTTGATTAAAGTCAAAGATAATATCATCTATTCGATGAACACTCTTTGCTCACTTAGGCTTCCCTCCTCTCACCCTTTATCTGTAAATCTGAGTTGCCCATGAGCTTGGTGACAAGAAAACCCTCACAAGGGGACGAAGTCTTTGGTATTGACTTCCACTGATGAGGTGGTCCTAGTCTGGGGATCATTCTTTAAACAAAATAAGCGGAAGTCTGAGCAAATTTGGGGACCTAGACCATGGCGGTTGCTGCAATGCTACAACAGGAAACCATTCTATGGTCCTCCACCCACCACTCATTCATTCATTTCTTTGTTCAATCAGTGACTCAGCCAATGTCTACTGGGTCCATTTCACAATCAGGCGCTACAGAGGGTGTTAACAGTGAGGAAAACAGTGTATGTGCTTATAGTCCAGCGGACTATTATTATTACGATGTTAAGTTTATTCCTTTCTTTCATGAGCTAGAGAGAGACAAAGAGGTAGTTTCCTCAGAGGGTCTTGATGCCATGATCCACCTGAGCCTCCACGACCCCAGATCACAGGCATGTTCATGCCTGGAGTACTTAGGGGGGGTCTCCAGACACAGGCCCAGAACCTTCCCATGTGGGTCAGCTTCACAGAGCATCATGTTTTACTGCACCACCACCAACTAGTCCCCTTAGTTTTCTTTTCATGGTCCAAACGGCTAGAGCATCTGCTAAAAGGACTTCATAAATTATTCCAAAGAGATCAGATTGTGCCACAGACTAGTCAAAAAAAGAAAGAAAAAGAGGAAATATAAATGACCAAAACCTAGATAGAAACTGTTTAACTTCTCCAAGTACAGAGAAATAAAATTAAAACTACTCAATTTAGCAAAGAACATATAAAAGAATCATAATGCTGGTGTGAGGCATGAGTAAGGTTATGAACATTCTTATTTCTTTCTGAAAAAAAGTAACTTGGCATCGTCGTTTAAGTGAGGAACTTGACAATCAATGTGAAAAATCCATATAGACTTTTTGATTTAGTAATGCAATTTCTTTTCAATCTTTTTTTTTTTTTTAAGGTTTTCACCACGAGGTATGTGTGTTCACTGGAAAAAGAGAGACAGTGAGAAAGTGAGAAATCACCCTCTAAGGGAGATGGCCATGCTTCCATTTCTTCTGCTCCATTCTTCTCTTAGGATTTTGGGCATGCTTGCACACATGTCTAGTGTGTTTCAAGCCATCAGTCCAGGACTTGACCCATGGTTGGCCACAAGGGAGTCCAGCACCTTAACCACTGAGCCACCTGTTGGCCCCAGTCATGTAATTTCTAAGACTAATTCACAGGAAGTAGTTAAGGATGTGCACAAAAATTAAGCTATAAAGATTTTTGTGGAAGGGATGTCAATAATACTAATGAATGTATGACTAAACAAAAATGAGAGAAACTAACATGTGTGGAGCATTTTCTACATGAGCTCCTTTCCCTGAGATGCCAAATGACCTTGCAAAAAGTGTGATTGCTACTTGCGGAAGTAAATGGCTTGGAGAGGTTGGTAACAGCCATGCTGACATAGCTGGAAGGAAGTGTACCTGGGAGGGGGCTGAGCCCACGGAGTTACCACACCATGTTTCTGTTGCTCCTTGTAGTGAAAAATCAAAACAACATGGAAGTCTCACAATAGGGAACTGGCTTAATGAATAATGGAGCAACCATGTCATGAAATGTTAGTCAGTAATAAAAAAATAACATAGGCAAAGATTTATCCCTTGGGAAAGGTTTTTGAAATATATCACAAAGCTGGTTATCAGTGTTTATAGTATGGCCCCAAAATCAATTTATAAACACATGTTCACACAGAAACATCCACACACATGGATACCAAGGATCAATTAAGCAACTATTCCTGGGTGGAAAGATGAATGTTTAATTCTCTCCCCATCCATTTACTGTTTTATTTATTTATTTATTTATTTATTTATTTATTTATTTATTTATTTGCTATAGGGCGCATGCACTCGCCAGACAGACAGAGAGAAACAGAGAGATAGAAAGCGAGAAATCACCTCCCAGGGGAGATGGCCACGCCACAATCCCTTCACCTCCATTCTCCTCTCGGGATCTTGGGTACGCAGGCACACGTGCCTGGGATGAGTTTTAAGCCACCAGGTCTGGGACATGAACTGCCATCAACTACATGGGAGTCCAGTGACATAGCCATTAGGCTAACTGCTGGTCCCACTTACTGTTTTTCTCATCTATATTTTTTTATTTAAATAATCTGTATTATTTATGTAATAGCCTTTGTATTTACTTTTAAAACTATTATGGCGTTATTGACTTGGAATTAACATTCCAAGTCATTACATGACACTCTTGTCTTTTGCTTCCCTGAATTAATTTTGCTTCTGCTAAACTGTTATAAAAATCAGCCTGTATTGAGAGCAGACAGACCTGGGCTTCAGGTTGAGCTCATCTATTAATGTGTCGAGGATGTGACCTGAGGCAAGTCACTTTGACTCTCCTGGTCTCCTCATGGTGAGATGGCTGAGTGAGCTGAGGGCCCCGCCAGCTCCAACATGCTGTGCACTCGTATGCATTCATTTTCTCCTTTGGAGACAGCCTGTAACCATTTCCAGTCTAAAGGAAGAGGATTCGAGACTATGAAACCATTTTGCTCTATAAAAAAGCACGGATAAACACCTGTCTAACCCATTTTAAGAAATAATAGTATGACATTTATAAACCACTTTGCACAGAATTTATGAATTCCCTCCCCGGAGGCCCTGGGTTTGACTGTAGTTATTCTAGTTATTTACATGCCTGCATTGGGGCAAAGGATTTGCAGCTGGGAGAGGATAATGCTCTCTCCGGAGTTTATTGTTGATTCGGTATCTCTTATTATGTTGCTGGAGCAAAATGTGTGAAGACCTGTTTCTCTGACACAAAAAATAACCCAGAAAATAATGTGGGACTTCATTTCAGCCCTATCTTTCTCTCCAGTTGTATCTGTGGATCATCCTGCCTGAAGGCAGCTGAACTCGGCTGGAGTTGCCTATCAGAGTTGTGGCCCCATAAGGGCAGGCGAGAAGAGCAGGGCCCACTATCAGAAAGGCTCTGTGTTTTCTGAGAATTAAGAACTCAAGTGGTGTTCGACATTCCCTGTTCTCTGCAAAATAACTCTTAGGCTGCGGAGCTCAGTTCTACAGTTGGACGTTTTCATCCTAGTATGTAACAGAATATCTAGTTTGGTATGTTGCACTTCATGAATGAACAGATAAAACAATAAGATTCCCAATACATATACAGTGCTGGTTAGTTCCTTCTAGAATTTATGAATTGCTAGGTGGTCTTTTCCATATCACAGGGGAAGACAAATACATGGTATACACATGCAATTTTGTTTTTGCGCCTTTCTGCTTAGTCAAGGACTAAAAAGGAATGAAGTCTAAAATATAAAATGGAAATGGATGAATTACTTTCTCTTATTTCAAATTTGGGGCACTGAGGGTCTTTGTTACATTGTAAAATTTAATTTCATACCAAATGTGTATCATTCATACCTACATAAAATGCAACTGCACTCTAATGAGGATTTTAGTGAGAACAAGGTCACAATCAGAGCACCTTTAGTGATCTAAAGAAAAACAAAATGTTACTGCTTAGAGATACTTCCCCATATGGGCATCACTACTTCCTCCAGAGTTTAAACCAGGGAAATCAAAGATCTGCCACCCACCCATTCAAGACCCTAGATGACGTCACTCTGTGTCGAATGGGCGCCGTTCTAGACTCTTCTTCCCAAGCTACTCTCTACTCTGACTCAGTCTGATTTCACCGCTTCCTAAACATCCCCTATTTGCTTATTACTCTGTACTTGGGGAGCATCCTCTCTACCTCTCTAATATCTTTATTGTTCAAGGACCCCTGGGCTCAAGTCCCACTTTAATTCCAGACTGATCACAGTGGTTGACACCAATGTTACCCAACTCCAACAACATATTTCCAAAACGTATTTGGCCTTATCAGCTTGTCATCTTTCTGACATATTGAATAGTTCAGCTGAATAATATATTTCCCTAATATGTCA